TCAGAAGTGGAAGCAAGCGAGTGGCCAACCTGTGCTAGCTAATTGTATGTCTTTTGAGGCCGCTCAAAAGTGCTAGCCAGTTGCGTGTTCTCCTTACATCTTCCTGAGCGCTGTGAGCTCGGACAGGAAGTCTGGCAAGTCTGCGTTCATACTGTTGAATGCCACAGAGCTGCACGAGGAGAGGGTGGTAGGGCAGAAGGAAATATGCGGGGTCATCTGTATGCATAGTGATGTGGGTGGAGGAACAGGTGCAGGAAACCGTCAAAGAGGAGAGGAAGACAGCAGAAGGGGCAAAAGGGGATGTCATTCTCAGTGATTCTAATCAAAAGCAAACTCGCTGTGCTGGGCGTTGGAGCAAAACACTCACAGTAAGTGAGTTTGGAGGCCAGGCCAGCAGTGTGCATAACATGCTGCAGCGCTGAGTGACTCAAAAATCATCCTGCTTGATCTAGAGCGGCTATTATCAGAGACTACAAATGGACGCCAACAGCAAATGGCACGTGGGAGGGAGAGTAAGAGCTAGGCTTATAAACATACAGCGCGTGTTCCTTCAGCATGTTACAGGGGGGAGATAAAGGCTCATCTTAAATTCTCACAGAAACTCGAGCTTTTTAAGCTTCGTAATGGTCTTGGGAATGCTTCCACTGATCTTATTGCCAGCCAGTCTCCTGCACAGGAGGAGCAGAGGCCAGCAGTGCAAGAGTGAGTGCTCCCAGGTATGTGAGATTTAACGGAATGTCAGCCAACCGTGCTTGTGGTTCTCAACTCAACATCAATCAACACATGGCAGTGGGTTGTGGTTCTCAACTGAACATAATCTAAGCATAGCAGTGGATTCGAATACTCACAGGTACGTGTAGTTGAGGACGGTGTGTGTGGATGGTAACATGTGCTAGTGGCTAAAGAGGCCTTGTGTGGAAGCTCACAGGTACGTGAGGTTGTGGAGGGTGTGTGTGGACGGTATTTTACATCGATGACCTTTTAAAGAAATTAGATAGGAAGACTGGTTTGATTAGAAATAACACGAACAAAACGGGTTGTCAGTGTAGGCTCAATAGAAGCGAAATTATAGCAATAATCATAGGATGACAATCAATGTGCTAGTGGTTAAAGAGGTCTTGTGTGTGCGTTCACAGGTATCTGAGGTTGAGGAGGTTGCCAATGCTGGCGGGGATGGATCCGCTAATAGCCGTGTCGGCATCAAATCTCGGGTTCCACCCGACATCCCTGCAATGACATTATGACAGTGAAGGGGCGTGATAGGGGCATCACAAGGTGGGGGCGCGATTGAGGGATCAACAAGAAGAGTGGCAGAGGGAGAGACAGAGAAACACCACCAGGCTTATGAGTCTTGTGTAACCAGGATCATATCAATAGACGGATCATTTGAGAAGCACCACCAGGCACCGATCCAAGTATGTTACTATACAGGTTTTACCCACACTCTGGCAGTGGCATTGAGATGCATGGTGGGTGGGGGAGATACATGAGAAGAGACCAATAACATGGATGAAAAGGAGGCGCGATATGGTGACCCAAAGGGAGCACAGGAAAATGCATGGGATGCCATGGCAGGCATGACATGGTATGGCATGGCATGGCATGGCATGGCATTGTATGGGATGACACAGCATGGCATGGCAAGACAGGGACTGACTCACATGTATTCCAGGTTAGTGAGTGCCCCTATGGTTTCTCCAATGGGACCCCAGAACTTGTTGTCACTCATGCCACTGTCACATGCACGCACCAACCAACCCCACGGGAACAACATGAGGCTTTGATGTGCCAAGGAATCATGAAAGAAGTGAGCTGTGTGAAGAGGTGGGAACAGCACAAGGCTATGGTGGAGAGAAACACACAAGGTGGCGCGTGTTACATCTCAGCACCTAGCGAATGGCCACCCACTACCAAAAAGCGTCTCACTAACTGAAAAAACTACTCACGCTGAATGTCTATACCTTGTACAAAGGTAGCGGCAGTTAGAGCTTGATGCAAGAAAAGAGCACCTTCACCGTTGCGCTAGTATTTGACTAGTAGTCGCCACCATTTGTCACATGCACGTGTCAGAGTTGTATGGATTATGCCAGACCAGACTTACAGCCACGTGAGTTTAGTGAGTGTGCTTATATACGATGGAAAGGAGCAGTTCATGCTGTTGAAGTGGACGTCACTGCAGGCAATCAAGAACAAGAACATGGGAAACCCAGCACGAATCATGATTGCAACATTGGTATGATGGTAGCTATCAGCCAGCACTGTACAAAGGGTCACGAAACTGCACTGTACAAAGGGTCATCAAACTGTACTGCACCTGCACTGAAAAAACTGTTTGTGCTTGATAAAACCAACGAAAAGAAACCCATATCAGGTCAGTCTCTAGCAATCCAAAACGCTAGTCAATAGTAGATGAGGTGAAAGCTGATGGTATGGAAACAAGAATACAAGCAAACGGAGGGACGAATTGAGATGGAAGATCAGGCGCTTCCATGAATAGCCAATTCTTAGGGCGCCTCAAAACAAGAGAAAGAGATTTGCCTCCATGCATGATTCCCAAGGCATTGTGAGTAAGGGGGACCAACGGAAAGTGAGTAAGGGGGACCAACGGAAAGTGAGTAAGGGGGACCAACGGAAAGTGAGTAAGGGGGACCAACGGAAAGTGAGTAAGGGGGACCAACGGAAAGTGAGTAAGGGGGACCAACGGAAAGTGAGTAAGGGGGACCAACGGAAAGTGAGTAAGGGGGACCAACGGAAAGTGAGTAAGGGGGACCAACGGAAAGTGAGTAAGGGGGACCAACGGAAAGTGAGTAAGGGGGACCAACGGAAAGTGAGTAAGGGGGACCAACGGAAAGTGAGTAAGGGGGACCAACGGAAAGTGAGTAAGGGGGACCAACGGAAAGTGAGTAAGGGGGACCAACGGAAAGTGAGTAAGGGGGACCAACGGAAAGTGAGCCACAGCAGCATTTCAGCACAAGGATAAACGAGTTGGTGCTAGCCCTCGATACCTTTTGTACTTGTACTTTTATATCCTAGTTTAGTGTAATTTGCATCTTGTGTTTGGTTGGGTGTACCTAAATGTGATCTGCAAGAAATCTCCAACACACCAATTGGAGATTGCCTTGGGATTACCCCAAATCCTAGGGATTGCCCCCGATTCCCTCCCCATCCATTCCTAGCTCATTCTGGATGTACTTAAGGAGCTTCAAGCTCCAGTTCTGACAAAACGAAACAGGGGGGAGAATGACTGACAGAGGTGAGGTGACTGACAGAGCAACAAGGTTGGTGAGACTGCTGATGGCGGCAGGGAGAGTCCCGTTGATGAAGTTGATGGAGATGTTGCTGAGGAAAAAAGGGAGTGACGTGGTGTGGGGGCAAAGAGAAAGGAAGTGAGCTGTGGTGACATTTGAGTCGACTCAAAAAAGCTTCCTTCCAACCCAAAGATGCTTCCTTCGAGCCCAAACATGCTTCCTTCCAACCAGATTATGCCTGTTTGTTTCCCTTCAGCATGCCCCACCTCAACATCCTACTCTGAACTGAACGTAAACCCTCCTAACAATACGCTGCCACTCACAGGTTGGTGAGGCTGATGAGATTGCTGATGCTGGCAGGCAGTGTCTGGTTCAGCTGGTTGTTAGCAACTTGCCTGTCAGAAAAGGACAAACATGGACCATTTCAAATAGTGGAATCAACCATTTTAGCTTGCACGATAGGGCTCAGAAAGCATAAGCTGAATTTTGGGAAATTCTTGCCTCATGCCTGCCTAAGTTGAGCCAACCGAGCCATGAAAGTCGATGCTATGCCACAAGAAATCCAATCTTATACCACGGCAGCACAAAGGCATCACCTCATAAATTTGGTGCCAGTCAGATGGGTTCGAGTCATTTTCGCAAGTGCTTGAGTGCCTACAGGTGCTTGAGTGCCTACAGGTGCTTGAGTGCCGAGAGTCGGCTGAAGGAGTCTGGGAGCGACCCATTGAGGCCATTGAAGCTGACGTCACTGGTGGATGGAGAGGAGCAGCAAGAGAAGACAAGGGAGATATTAGGTTCGTTGCACGAAACGAGAATTAGAAGCAGACCCTCGAAACATTAGGGCTTAGGGTCGACAAGGTAAACATTAGGTTCGACAAGGACGACATTAGGTTCGACAAGGAAGACATTATCTTCGACAAGGAAAACATTAGGGTCTACAGAGATGACTTTTGAGTCGACAAGAATCAGAGGTGGTACTGAGAGGGCTCTTGAAGCTGATGTGCATGGGGATCTTTGAAAGAGCGGCAACGAGAGACGACAGACAGAGGAAGAGGCTCGAAACGACCAGTAAGTAGGGGTGCATTGAACGAGATGCAGCGGATGCCACTAGTGAGCGATAGGAGAAGATAGAGGACATAAGGGATGCAAGAGGGTGTGTGTAGATGGTTTGAAAAGGAGGGATTTGAAATGAGGGATATGGAAAGGAGATCCTCGAACGCCAGGGATGCGAACCAAAGTGAGGAAATGTGTGGTGGAGCATGAGATATGTGTGGTGGAGCATGAGATATGTGTGGTGGAGCATGAGATATGTGTGGTGGAGCATGAGATATGTGTGGTGGAGCATGAGATATGTGTGGTGGAGCATGAGATATGTGTGGTGGAGCATGAGATATGTGTGGTGGAGCATGAGATATGTGTGGTGGAGCATGAGATATGTGTGGTGGAGCATGAGATATGTGTGGTGGAGCATGAGATATGTGTGGTGGAGCATGAGATATGTGTGTTGGAGCATGAGATATGTGTGGTGGAGCATGAGATATGTGTGGTGGAGCATGAGATATGTGTGGTGGAGCATGAGATATGTGTGGTGGAGCATGAGATATGTGTGGTGGAGCATGAGATATGTGTGGTGGAGCATGAGATATGTGTGGTGGAGCATGAGATATGCAAGCCCGGGTCTCACAACACGTTGCCGAGGTTTCAAAATCCTCAACATTGAGATACACTGGCATTATTAGGTTGAGGTCTCACAAGTAGAGGAGGTGGGCGAATTCACCAAATGACGATGGAATGGATCCGTTGAGGAGATTCTTTGTAAAGTTACTGCATGGTGGGAAGAGGGAAGGGAGGAAAGCACGTGCATAGAACGTAAGGAAGGCATGCGGGCATGCGAATGGAAGTCATGGCGCATAGATTAGGAACTAGGCTACAGCTGTGGAACCACGTGATAACAGCTGAGCTTGGAGACGTCTCAGAACTCAACTTCTATCACATGACTAGACTTACAGTGTGTAGAGTTACATTCCCGTTAACACCAGTCCAGCACCAGATTGAAAATTAAGGTGGAAGCTCCTCACCCTTATGCAACAAGGAGAAGAATTTCTGTGAGAAGCAGTAATGTGCTTGGGGTGCGATAACAGACTGATGACTGGTTGGTGTGGTGTGGATGCGTACAGAGAGATGAGGTTGGTGAGGCTTCCTAGAGAGTCGGGGATGGAGCCATTGATGGCGTTGCTGGCCAGATTGCTGAGGGTTTGGGCGTGGTGGAAGGTAGTGATGAGTATGGAAAGGAGTGAGAAGTAATGGGATGGCATGATGGGAGGGAATGATGAAAAGGGATGGGTGTGTGGGTGATGACAAGGGATGGGTGTGTGGGTGATGCCAAGGTATGGGTGTGTGGGTGATGAGAAGGAATGGGTGTGTGGGTGATGAGAAAGGATGGGTGAGGGTGACGAGAAGGGATGGGTGTGTGGGTGATGACAAGGGATGGGTGCGTAAGAGGAGAGAATGAACAGTCCACACCACAACAAGAAGAGATAAGCTTGGTGGCTAGGAAGAAATGAGAATGAGGAGTGGAAGGAAGGGGCAGGAGGGTAACTGGTGCACCCAGACCTGCCCGCCGCACCCAGGCCCGGCGCACCTAGGCCCAGAACACCCGGGCCCGGGGCACCCAGGCCTGGCGCACCCAGGCCTGGCGCACCCAGGCCCGGAACACCCGGGTCCGGGGCACCTAAGGTGGACGCTCCCAAGTAAGAGGGGTATTGAGAAGCCGTTGTTGGTTACAGATAAGTGAGAGCTGTGAGTTGTTGCAGTCCCTGGGGCAGAGTGCCGTTGAGAGAGTTGGCGCTGAGATCACTGCAAGGCACGCAAGAGGGCGAGAGGTTGTGCAAGTTGTGTCACACGGAAGCAAGGAACGGAGTGATTGCACTACCACAACTCCTGGAGTTGAGGGCACAAGGGAAGGGTGGGTGATGTGGGTGGTGGGTGTGTTGGGTTGGGTGTGCTGGAAATAGTGGGAGCACTGACAGGTGGGAGAGGAGGGAGCTTCTGCCGAGGCCCTCAGGCAGAGTGCCATTCAGCTGGTTTCTGCTCAGGTCACTGCAGGTGGAAGGGGAGGAGGATAGAGGGGCTTGAGTTGAGAGGGAGAGGACTGGAGAGACCGGCACCGGGTTGTGGACCACAGTGAAGTTCGGGGAGACGAAGTAGGTGACAGTGTGTGTGGTGAATAAGGGGGTACAAACGAAACAAGGGAATAGGCTGGTATTGTAATCAGGATGTTATTCTTGCCTGTGCTATTATTAATCTTGGATTGGAGTTTCTGAAGGTAGGTTTACACTTGCTAGATGTTTAAGATTCCATTTTACCAATCAATCAACAACATGAAGATTTACATGACACTCCAATCCCATATTTTTCCTCGAAGTTCCTACTGTGCTCAGCAGTCTTCCCGGTTCATTTGAACATAGCAGAAAGCATTGACTGGGTCATTGGAGCAGAAAGGGAAAGGGAAAATGTGAGGGCGCTCACAGGTGCTGCAGCTGCTGAAGTTTCCCCAGCCCTTGAGAGAGAGTGCCTTGGAAGGCATTGGCACTGAGGTCGCTGTGGAGGGGAGATCAGGGATGGATGAGGGATGGATGGGGGATGGATGGGGGATGGGGGATGGATGGGGGATGGGGGATGGATGGGGGATGGGGGATGGATGGGGGATGGATGGGGGATGGGGGATGGATGGGGGATGGATGGGGGATGGGGGATGGATGGGGGATGGATGGGGGATGGGGGATGGATGGGGTATGGCGGATGGAGGTTGGGGATGGGGGGCATGACCGCCATGGGCAATGGGGGTGGGGCATGACCGTCATGACCCATGGGGTGTGGCCCGAGAAGAAGGGTGGACCGCAGGGAAGGGAATGGAGGGCGAGCGACTCTATTGAGACTGTTGATAAGGCTCATAGTCTTGGTCAAAAGAGCAAGACATGGGGATTCGAGCCTCCCAAATCCAGCAGGAAGATATGCTCAAGGTGCAAACAGGCCGCACCACTAAAGAATGGCAAGGCATGTGTGCGGTGCTGGCCAATGGCGCGGATGGTATGCAGATGGCACGTGTGTGTGTGGTACTAGAAGGTGGCATAAGCGATGTGCCTTGCGTACAGATGGCAAGGGTGGTTTGCCTCACGCACAGGTGGGTGAGGAGGCTATATTTCCGCAGGCGGGGCAGCAAGCCATTCAGGGCGTTGGAGCTCAGGTCGCTGCCCACCCGCAGACACAAGAAATGGAGAATCCGGCTAAGTAGACGCTCTGTGTGAGTCTGATCAAGGGGTGCACGGAGTGAGACTCACAGGGTGTGCAGGCGAGTGAGACTCACAGGGTGTGCAGGCGAGTGAGACTCACAGGGTGTGCAGGCGAGTGAGACTCACAGGGTGTGCAGGCGAGTGAGACTCACAGGGTGTGCAGGCGAGTGAGACTCACAGGGTGTGCAGGCGAGTGAGACTCACAGGGTGTGCAGGCGAGTGAGACTCACAGGGTGTGCAGGCGAGTGAGACTCACAGGGTGTGCAGGCGAGTGAGACTCACAGGGTGTGCAGGCGAGTAAGACTCACAGGGTGTGCAGGCGAGTGAGACTCACAGGGTGTGCAGGCGAGTGAGACTCACAGGGTGTGCAGGCGAGTGAGACTCACAGGGTGTGCAGGCGAGTGAGATAGCTCAGCATGCCCGGAACCGTGCCGTTGAGAGAGCAGCTTGATAGGATGCTGTGCGCAGGAGGGGGGAGAGAAATAAGAGAAGGATATCGGGGAGAGAGGAGGGCAGACAGAGAGGAAGGGAGGCGGGAAGAGTAGAGGGTTGGATGACTGCCTTTCTGCCTCTGTCTGCCGTCTCAGGACTGCGTGACTTGTTTCTATCTTGTCTCATTGGAGTGCAAAGAGCTAAGAAGATTGGTTATACAGTATGGCTGCCTTTTGCCTCATCAGATGCCACGCCAAAGAACTCCACTCCACCAATGTGCTTGTGAGTGAGTGAGCTACAGGATGGCTGTAAATTACTCACCTTACTAGTACCTTCCATGCACCTTCCTCTCACTCTTAAACCGTAAACACACCGCAGACGCGCTTACAGGGTTGAGAGGCGAGTCAAGAGGCCGAGAGATGATGGGATGGAGGCTGACAAGCCGTTCTTGGACAAGTTGCTGTCATGTAGGATGTGGAGAGGGGCGGAGAGAGAGGGGTGGTGGGGAGGGGGGATGGAGGATGAAATGCCATTCTTGGACAAGTTGCTGTCATGTACGCAGGGAGGAGAGGGGCGAAGAGGGGCGGAGAAGGTGGGGTGGTGGGGAGGGGGAATGGAGGATGAAATGTTCTTCATGGAAAGATTTCTTCAGTAACACGGGCAGAGAAGGTGGGGGGAGCGGAATGAGGAGAGGGGGGATGAGGGAGGTTGGGTGGAGGGGGGTGGGGTGGGGGGGCTAAGGAGGTGGACAGGATGGAAGCAAGGAAGATATGTTTCTGCACAATTACGAAGTGGAAGTGATTCGGCAGGGAAACAGAAAATTTGAGTCAGAAATGCAAAGATTTGTCAGTCTAATGAAATTATGGGTTGGTGTGGTGACAGACCAAATAGGGCTGACATGACAGGAGTATGCCGCTGCTGTCTGTCAGGATTCTCTCAGCTCAGAACACAAATGAAACGGTAGTGTGCAACCAGCTTCAAACCTTGACTGGTTCTTTCCTTCAGAGAAAAGTACACCTCATGCTTTGACCATCTCGTACATCGACTCGAGTCTCGTCAGAAAGCCAAGGCTCCATGGGATGCTGCCAGTCAAGCTGTTGTTGCTCAGGTCACTGAATGTTAGGGAAACAAACAGGCACAGCAACGTGCATCGGGTTTTGAGATGAGTCGAGAAAGGAACAATAGATAGTGCCTCTGATAGTGCCTCTGATAGTGCCTCTGATAGTGCCTCTGATAGTGCCTCTGATAGTGCCTCTGATAGTGCCTCTGATAGTGCCTCTGATAGTGCCTCTGATAGTGCCTCTGATAGTGCCTCTGATAGTGCCTCTGATAGTGCCTCTGATAGTGCCTCTGATAGTGCCTCTGATAGTGCCTCTGATAGTGCCTCTGATAGTGCCTCTGATAGTGCCTCTGATAGTGCCTCTGATAGTGCCTCTGATAGTGCCTCTGATAGTGCCTCTGATAGTGCCTCTGATATGGTTCTCAGTCTCAGTGAAGCAGTAGCAGCTGAGCAGGAAAGGCTTTGGCAGGTTGAAGCGAAGCTGCCTTCGCTGCTGCCAAAAGCCTCTTCGTCATGATCACGCATGCTGCACTCTCTTCCTGTCTTGACAAAATGTATCTTAAACGGCCATTCGATCAACCCTGCCAGCCGTGTGGGCATAGCAGATCATTCTTGAGCGGAGCTCGCAGTGGTGTGTGAGGATGCCTTTCAGAGTGAACAGGGTGAGAGAGTGGCGGCTTACAGGGCGGTGAGCGACTTGAGTCCGCCCAAAGAGGCTGGGACGGTTGAGTTGATGTGGTTGGACGAGAGATCTCTGTCGAAGCAGAAAAGGGAGGGAGGCAAGGGAAGCACTTGATTACTGAACAGAGGCACTTTGGGAAGCTATGAAATGTCAAATGAAGAGAAAGTTAGCATGTCACTGAAGTTGCGCATCGAGGGAGGTCCCAGACGGAGGCTATGAACGAACGCCCTCCCCCTGTCACTAGGAATGCAGGTGAGAAGGCACTCGAAGCCACGGCCGCGATCTCGTAGGTGCCTCAACAATCGGCCAGGGTTCTGTGTCACGAGCATGCGCATTTTGAGTCTCACAGGTGTCGTGGTCTCACAGGTGTCGTGGTCTCACAGGTGTCGTGGTCTCACAGGTGTCGTGGTCTCACAGGTGTCGTGGTCTCACAGGTGTCGTGGTCTCGCAGGTGTCGTGGTCTCGCAGGTGTCGTGGTCTCGCAGGTGTCGTGGTCTCGCAGGTGTCGTGGTCTCGCAGGTGTCGTGGTCTCCCAGGTGTCGTGGTCTCACAGGTGTCGTGGTCTCACAGGTGTCGTGGTCTCGCAGGTGTCGTGGTCTCGCAGGTGTCGTGGTCTCGCAGGTGTCGTGGTCTCGCAGGTGTCGTGGTCTCGCAGGTGTCGTGGTCTCGCAGGTGTCGTGGTCTCGCAGGTGCCGTGGTCTCGCAGGTGTCGTGGTCTCGCAGGTGTCGTGGTCTCACAGGTGTCGTGGTCTCGCAGGTGTCGTGGTCTCGCAGGTGTCGTGGTCTCGCAGGTGTCGTGGTCTCGCAGGTGTCGTGGTCTCGCAGGTGTCGTGGTCTCGCAGGTGTCGTGGTCTCGCAGGTGTCGTGGTCTCGCAGGTGTCGTGGTCTCGCAGGTGTCGTGGTCTCGCAGGTGTCGTGGTCTCGCAGGTGTCGTGGTCTCGCAGGTGTCGTGGTCTCGCAGGTGTCGTGGTCTCGCAGGTGTCGTGGTCTCGCAGTTGTCGTGGTCTCGCAGGTGTCGTGGTCTCGCAGGTGTCGTGGTCTCGCAGGTGTCGTGGTCTCGCAGGTGTCGTGGTCTCGCAGGTGTCGTGGTCTCGCAGGTGTCGTGGTCTCACAGGTGTCGTGGTCTCGCAGGTGTCGTGGTCTCGCAGGTGTCGTGGTCTCCCAGGTGTCGTGGTCTCACAGGTGTCGTGGTCTCCCAGGTGTCGTGGTCTCGCAGGTGTCGTGGTCTCGCAGGTGTCGTGGTCTCACAGGTGTCATGGTCTCACAGGTGTCGTGGTCTCACAGGTGTCGTGGTCTCACAGGTGTCGTGGTCTCACAGGTGTCGTGGTCTCACAGGTGTCGTGGTCTCACAGGTGTCGTGGTCTCACAGGTGTCGTGGTCTCACAGGTGTCGTGGTCTCGCAGGTGTCGTGGTCTCGCAGGTGTCGTGGTCTCGCAGTTGTCGTGGTCTCGCAGGTGTCGTGGTCTCACAGGTGTCGTGGTCTCACAGGTGTCGTGGTCTCACAGGTGTCGTGGTCTCACAGGTGTCGTGGTCTCACAGGTGTCGTGGTCTCACAGGTGTCGTGGTCTCACAGGTGTCGTGGTCTCGCAGGTGTCGTGGTCTCGCAGGTGTCGTGGTCTCCCAGGTGTCGTGGTCTCGCAGGTGTCGTGGTCTCGCAGGTGTCGTGGTCTCAAAGGTGTCGTGGTCTCACAGGTGTCGTGGTCTCACAGGTGTCGTGGTCTCACAGGTGTCGTGGTCTCACAGGTGTCGTGGTCTCACAGGTGTCGTGGTCTCGCAGGTGTCGTGGTCTCGCAGGTGTCGTGGTCTCGCAGGTGTCGTGGTCTCACAGGTGTCGTGGTCTCGCAGGTGCCGTGGTCTCGCAGGTGTCGTGGTCTCACAGGTGTCGTGGTCTCGCAGGTGTCGTGGTCTCGCAGGTGTCGTGGTCTCACAGGTGTCGTGGTCTCACAGGTGTCGTGGTCTCACAAGTGTCGTGGTCTCACAGGTGTCGTGGTCTCACAGGTGTCGTGGTCTCACAGGTGTCGTGGTCTCACAGGTGTCGTGGTCTCACAGGTGTCGTGGTCTCACAGGTGTCGTGGTCTCACAGGTGTCATGGTCTCACAGGTGTCGTGGTCTCACAGGTGTCGTGGTCTCACAGGTGTCGTGGTCTCACAGGTGTCGTGGTCTCGCAGGTGTCGTGGTCTCACAGGTGTCGTGGTCTCACAGGTGTCGTGGTCTCACAGGTGTCATGGTCTCACAGGTGTCGTGGTCTCACAGGTGTCGTGGTCTCACAGGTGTCGTGGTCTCACAGGTGTCGTGGTCTCACAGGTGTCGTGGTCTCACAGGTGTCGTGGTCTCGCAGGTGTCGTGGTCTCGCAGGTGTCGTGGTCTCCCAGGTGTCGTGGTCTTGCAGGTGTCGTGGTCTCGAAGGTGTCGTGGTCTCACAGGTGTCATGGTCTCACAGGTGTCGTGGTCTCACAGGTGTCGTGGTCTCGCAGGTGTCGTGGTCTCGCAGGTGTCGTGGTCTCACAGGTGTCGTGGTCTCACAGGTGTCGTGGTCTCACAAGTGTCGTGGTCTCATAGGTGTCGTGGTCTCACAGGTGTCGTGGTCTCACAGGTGTCGTGGTCTCACAGGTGTCGTGGTCTCACAGGTGTCGTGGTCTCACAGGTGTCGTGGTCTCACAGGTGTCATGGTCTCACAGGTGTCGTGGTCTCACAGGTGTCGTGGTCTCACAGGTGTCGTGGTCTCACAGGTGTCGTGGTCTCGCAGGTGTCGTGGTCTCACAGGTGTCGTGGTCTCGCAGGTGTCGTGGTCTCGCAGTTGTCGTGGTCTCGCAGGTGTCGTGGTCTCACAGGTGTCGTGGTCTCACAGGTGTCGTGGTCTCACAGGTGTCGTGGTCTCACAGGTGTCGTGGTCTCACAGGTGTCGTGGTCTCACAGGTGTCGTGGTCTCACAGGTGTCGTGGTCTCGCAGGTGTCGTGGTCTCGCAGGTGTCGTGGTCTCGCAGGTGTCGTGGTCTCGCAGGTGTCGTGGTCTCGCAGGTGTCGTGGTCTCGCAGGTGTCGTGGTCTCGCAGGTGTCGTGGTCTCGCAGTTGTCGTGGTCTCGCAGGTGTCGTGGTCTCGCAGGTGTCGTGGTCTCGCAGGTGTCGTGGTCTCGCAGGTGTCGTGGTCTCGCAGGTGTCGTGGTCTCACAGGTGTCATGGTCTCGCAGGTGTCGTGGTCTCGCAGGTGTCGTGGTCTCCCAGGTGTCGTGGTCTCACAGGTGTCGTGGTCTCCCAGGTGTCGTGGTCTCGCAGGTGTCGTGGTCTCGCAGGTGTCGTGGTCTCACAGGTGTCATGGTCTCACAGGTGTCGTGGTCTCACAGGTGTCGTGGTCTCACAGGTGTCGTGGTCTCACAGGTGTCGTGGTCTCACAGGTGTCGTGGTCTCACAGGTGTCGTGGTCTCACAGGTGTCGTGGTCTCACAGGTGTCGTGGTCTCGCAGGTGTCGTGGTCTCGCAGGTGTCGTGGTCTCGCAGTTGTCGTGGTCTCGCAGGTGTCGTGGTCTCACAGGTGTCGTGGTCTCACAGGTGTCGTGGTCTCACAGGTGTCGTGGTCTCACAGGTGTCGTGGTCTCACAGGTGTCGTGGTCTCACAGGTGTCGTGGTCTCACAGGTGTCGTGGTCTCGCAGGTGTCGTGGTCTCGCAGGTGTCGTGGTCTCCCAGGTGTCGTGGTCTCGCAGGTGTCGTGGTCTCGCAGGTGTCGTGGTCTCACAGGTGTCGTGGTCTCACAGGTGTCGTAGTCTCACAGGTGTCGTGGTCTCACAGGTGTCGTGGTCTCACAGGTGTCGTGGTCTCACAGGTGTCGTGGTCTCGCAGGTGTCGTGGTCTCGCAGGTGTCGTGGTCTCGCAGGTGTCGTGGTCTCACAGGTGTCGTGGTCTCACAGGTGTCGTGGTCTCACAGGTGTCGTGGTCTCACAAGTGTCGTGGTCTCACAGGTGTCGTGGTCTCACAGGTGTCGTGGTCTCACAGGTGTCGTGGTCTCACAGGTGTCGTGGTCTCACAGGTGTCGTGGTCTCACAGGTGACATGGTCTCACAGGTGTCGTGGTCTCACAGGTGTCGTGGTCTCACAGGTGTCGTGGTCTCACAGGTGTCGTGGTCTCGCAGGTGTCGTGGTCTCACAGGTGTCGTGGTCTCACAGGTGTCGTGGTCTCACAGGTGTCGTGGTCTCACAGGTGTCGTGGTCTCACAGGTGTCGTGGTCTCACAGGTGTCGTGGTCTCACAGGTGTCGTGGTCTCACAGGTGTCGTGGTCTCACAGGTGTCGTGGTCTCGCAGGTGTCGTGGTCTCGCAGGTGTCGTGGTCTCCCAGGTGTCGTGGTCTCGCAGGTGTCGTGGTCTCGAAGGTGTCGTGGTCTCACAGGTGTCATGGTCTCACAGGTGTCGTGGTCTCACAGGTGTCGTGGTCTCACAGGTGTCGTGGTCTCACAGGTGTCGTGGTCTCACAGGTGTCGTGGTCTCACAGGTGTCGTGGTCTCACAGGTGTCGTGGTCTCACAGGTGTCGTGGTCTCGCAGGTGTCGTGGTCTCGCAGGTGTCGTGGTCTCGCAGGTGTCGTGGTCTCGCAGGTGTCGTGGTCTCGCAGGTGTCGTGGTCTCGCAGGTGTCGTGGTCTCACAGGTGTCGTGGTCTCACAGGTGTCGTGGTCTCACAGGTGTCGTGGTCTCACAGGTGTCGTGGTCTCACAGGTGTCGTGGTCTCACAGGTGTCGTGGTCTCACAGGTGTCGTGGTCTCACAGGTGTCGTGGTCTCACAGGTGTCGTGGTCTCACAGGTGTCGTGGTCTCACATGTGTCATGGTCTCACAGGTGTCGTGGTCTCACAGGTGTCGTGGTCTCACAGGTGTCGTGGTCTCACAGGTGTCGTGGTCTCGCAGGTGTCGTGGTCTCACAGGTGTCGTGGTCTCACAGGTGTCGTGGTCTCACAGGTGTCGTGGTCTCACAGGTGTCGTGGTCTCACAGGTGTGGTGGTCTCGCAGGTGTCGTGGTCTCGCAGGTGTCGTGGTCTCACAGGTGTCGTGGTCTCGCAGGTGCCGTGGTCTCGCAGGTGTCGTGGTCTCA